AGCGCGTGGCGAGATGTGCGCATAGCAATATCGATCGCCAGGCGGTCACATCTTGCCACGCGCTCGAATTGGGCGGTAGGCCGGCCTAAGACAACGATTTTTAATAATTAATTACTCGTTAACTATTACGAAAATTGCAAAATGGTACAGGACTTTTCCGTTCATCTCGATCCGTCCTACCTTCTCAAAAATTTTGTCGGATATAGAAAGACTCACCCTGTAGATCTAATATTATACAATTATTATCGTGCCCCATACAGCACAGATGGTTGCAGTTACATTGCAGAAACGTTGCAATCTTGCAGATTGCAATGCAATCTTGCAAAGACATTGCAGGGATATAAAATTGCAAACTTTTGATAGCAACCCAATGAGCAGACAATATTTTTGAAATGTTTTTTAAATGTTTATTTTACATTAATTATACGTTGCATTAATTATTCATTAAAAATAATGTTTTTAAAAAAGATTTATTTAACATTTATTTAACGTTTATTAAATATTTATTTTACATTAATTATTCATTCAAAATAATGACTTAAAAACATTTAATATTTATTTAAGGTTTATTAAATATTTATTTTTCATTAATTATTCATTTAAAATAATAACTTAAAAAACATTTATTTAACATTTATTTAATGCTCGCGGAACGAGAGCAAAAAATCACAGAAAGCTCGTGATTGGTCAAGGCTCGTTCCGCGATTTTCTGCGTACGCCCGCGCCGGTCGAAAAGCTTTCCCCCGATTGGCCGGGCCGCGACGCCATTATCTCGTGCAACCCCTGTTCGCGGGCGCGACAAACAATTGCAATCGGCCGTTTCGCACAGGATTTCGCTCTCTTTTGTTCGCGGACTATCGACGCCGTCGGATCGCCCCACAGCTGCACAGTCCCACACCAAGGTAGGGATCTCGGAGCTCTGTGAAGTTGGCACCCCGAAATGCAAATTTTCATAAAATTCTGGTGGCATTCGTTTGTCCACGATTTGTCCACGTTTGTTATGGGGGTGCTGTTAAATTTTTAATTTGGTTATAACTTTACTATGAAGGGTGGACAAACGAAAATTTTCGGTGGACAAAAGTGGACAAATCGTGGACAAACGAATGTCACTTAGAAATTCATGGGGGCTGTTCATGGGGGTGCTGATTGTAAATTTTTTTATTTTTATCATAACTTTTTTTGTAAGGGTGGACAAACGAAAATTATGGTTGGACAAACGTGGACAAATCGTGGACAAACGAATGCCACCAGAATTTTATGAAAATTTGCATTTTGGGTTGCCAACTTCACAGAGCTGGATCTCGGGGACGACGCCGCGTATAGGACACGAGGAGTATCGGTGAGATGTCTCTCGTTATTATTTTCTAAATTCTAAAGTCGCGTGTGCACTCAAGGAGGCCGGCTCATGTTTTGGCGTCGCGTTGCGCTTAGTAAACTCGGTCCCGTTCCCAGGAAACGGATGAGTATTTGGTCTAGGCGAGCGATCGGTGTTAAAAATATATTTATTTAACATTAAAAACATATTTATTTAATATTAAAAAATGTTTATTTAATGTTAAAAATACATTTATTTAATGTTAAAAATATATTTATTTAACATTAAAAACACATTTATTTAATGTTAAAAAACATTTATTTAATATTAAAATAAATATTTTTTAAATTAAAAAAGAAGGATCTATCCCATTATTTTTAACGTTTTTTAAACGTTTTTTAAACGTTTCTTTTTCATTATCAAAAATGTTTTTAAAACGTTTACAAAATATTTTTTTGCTACTTGGGAATATTGCAGCAATGTTTCAAAAATAATGAAAATACTATATTTTCTATTTAAAAAATTTTTCTTATTACGAGAATTTTATAATGTTATTTTCGTTGATACCAATAATGCGCGAATTATTAAGTACTTGATCAATGCGGTGTTGCTCGCAATCTCCATCCATTGCGAAGCGACATTAATAATCTCCTTAGGTTGCTTCGCAATAGCTTGCTGTGCATTGAAAAAGGCTCGGATGCATATGTAATTAGTAAATTCTCTGCTTATGTACAACAACAACAACAAATTATTCCAAAAATATTGCACTGCAACATTGCTATAATGTTGCACTGCAATCTCTCTGAGAGCGGACATTTCAACGTTGCTGCAATCCTCCAGAAACATTGCAGCAACATCGCAATCTTGCAATGTAACATTTCTGCAATCTTCCTGCAATCTTTCTGTGCTGTGTGGGCATACAGCACAGATGGTTGCAGTTACATTGCAGAAACGTTACAATCTTGCAGATTGCAGTGCAATCTTGCAGAGACATTGCAGGGATATAAAATTGCAAACTTTCGACAGCAATATTGCAGCAATGTTTCAAAAATAATAAAAATACTATATTTTCTATTTAAAACATTTTTCTAATTACGAGAATTTTATTATGTTATTTTCGTTAATACCAATAATACGCGAATTATTAAGTACGTGATCAATGCGGTGTTGCTCGCAATCTCCATCCATTGCGAAGCGACATAATCTCCTTAGGTTGCTTCGCAATAGCTTGCTGTGTATTGAAAAAGGCCCGGGTGCATATGTAATTTTATAGTAAATTCTCTGCTTATGTACAACAACAAGAAATTATTCCAAAAATATTGCACTGCAACATTGCTATAATGTTGCACTGCAATCTCTCTGAGGGCGGACATTTCAACGTTGCTGCAATATTGCAATCTTGCAACGTAACATTTCTGCAATTTTCCTGCAATCTTTCTGTGCTGTGTGGGAATAGTAGTTATACTGATACAATACTGTAAAATGTCCATAATAAATTGACGTCGGTAATTTCGTAACATTACTCACCGATATTAATAACCGGCAAAAATTTTAATTCCCAAAAATCGACAGATTAAGAAGAGTGGAATCAAAAATAGCATTAATAAAAGTGTTATTTAAATAAGTAAGAAGTATCATTAATAAAAATGTCAAAACTTATATAATGTTGAAAGTTTTCAAAAAAATAAGCTTAAAGATTCGAACTGCAAAAATGACAAAGATTAATTGTTATCATTATTTAATTTAATGAGATCTAATGTTATGTTAAAAAATTCATATTGTATCTTTTTCCTTCTTTGTGACAACGAGAAACATATTCACGAAAATTTGAACTTACCGGAACTCCGTATCGGTTTTAGTGATAAATTTATGCGGTATCGAACCTATCTCTGGGCATTGCATAACTTTACTATCTTCTTTGCGCGGCTAAGGTGTAAATACAGATATTCCATGTACGGAGCACATTTCGTAATTGCTTATGTGGGTCAGATGGGACTGGTTTCTTTAAGATTTTATATTGTGCGCCTTTGGAATTTTCGCCTCGTTTAGTCGGGGACCACACCTTGCTCATTGACTAATCTAAACTATCACCATCGGAATTTTTTCGTATTTAAACATTAGAGATTCAAGCATTCGTTACCACAGATATAAATTGTAGTTTTCACTTGGAAATGTTAACGCGATATTTTACCATAATTTATATTCTATACATCTATACATTCCTTATATTTTACAGATTTCATTTTTGCATATTCTACATATAAACATTGTTGTAATTCGAATGGTTTTTTTCCATATCAAAATACTTTTATTTTAATTCCAAAATCTAAAAGATGACGGAAAGTAACAAAGTAAAGTAAAATTGAGATCTTTAAAATGTAAGCTCAATTTTTATTATGTCAGCTCGAATACAAACTATGAATAATATACCAAAGTTATGAATTGTAATTGTATAAAAAATTCATCGACGTCAATTGATACAATTATATTAATAAAACGGTGCTTTAACATTTCAACGTTTCAATACTAATTTACATCGATCAGAAGTGTTGCAGACGTACGTGTCTATAAATTACATCGATTGGTAAAGCAAAGGAAACATGTTAACGACAGTTGTGCAAGAAGTTCGGCCATCACTGTAATTGTGACGGCGCATGTTATTTCTACAAGAATGCCAAAAGTGGTCGGCCTTGCCGTTTTTTTCTTTCACCCAATTTTAATGCAGATAATCGGCACAGATATACAGTTCGATTTCAGTATGCGAACAACTTTCGCAGGATAAACACGATTCTTCTTTTGATCATCCGTCAATGTTACGACTTTCTATTAAAAGTGCCAATTCGTGCCTTTGGGAAAAATTGTATCAAACGAAACCACCATGTCTACATATGTGCCGCAAACTCTTTTTCCTTGTTAAATCCTGCGAAAAATTCTGCGAACGCGTTTCAGATACTCGAGAACCTCCGGAGGAGTGCGTCCCAGTGAGAAATGATAATTGAGTTAAATGATCGATAAGTACACTTTATCAATTTCGAACCGTTATGAGAGCTCGGCGCAGCTAAGCTACGAACTGCTCTCCGATCGTCGTGACGCGGAGTCCGGAATGCGGGACAGTGCGCGATCGTTGGCGAGCACCATTGTGTCGAGAGATTTGAAACCGCTGATTAACATTCGCTTCTCGCAATCTTATTTCGTATGACTCGCGTTGTGCTGCCCTGACCGTAAGATCCGTAAAAAGGACTTTGAATGCTGACGCAAGCGGCCCTGATGCTATGCAGATCCGATGGCTTTTTCTCGATGCAACGTTATGAGACACCGCAGTTGATTCTTAACGTCCCGTTGGACGAAGAACAAGATTGAGTGCCACATATGTCGCGAATTGCTTATTTCTATTTATCGTGTTAATTAATCATTAAAAATTTACGATCGGAGATACGTAAATTGTGTTTGAGAACAGCTTGCGGTAGATATCGAAAGTACTGAGCATCACGGCAAAGATTAGGAAAACTGCATCGCGCCGAGCGCGCAACTGTAGTAAGTTGATAAGATAGTAATTACGAAAAAAAAGGAAAAAACAACTCAGTCACGCACTTAAATTGGTAATCGAGGTCTTTTAAATCCAGATCTGCGTTCAGGGAGAATTGATGTAATCTCTCGTGAAGCCTATTTCGATTCGACTCAAGTCAATATCAGAGGCCTGGCTTTCTACGGTGGAAAATAATAGTAACACGTAAACACTAGATTCGAGAGAACCAGGCTGTAATATATCCGATTGGGCGAAGATTTATTTCTCGCGCGACACGATCAGATAATCCGCGATGTTCAAACTCTGCCTGATAATCTTATACCTGAAGCACGTCGGTGGGATCCTGCCTGCGGCCGTTCTCGAAACGGTACACCACTTCCTCGCGGGACTCCCGCCGCCAAACGATCTGCAGGACGAGGACGCGGTGCCCGAGCGACGTTATCTGTCCTTCGACTTTCTCGTAATTGGCGCCGGATCGGCAGGATCGGTGCTCGCAAATCGTTTGACCGAGAATCCCGATTGGAACGTCCTGCTGCTCGAGCAGGGCAGGGACGAGACCTTCCTTACGGATATCCCCTTACTGGCGCCGATCCTCCACGTCACGGACTACGCTCGCGTGTACAAGGGCGAGCCACGGCCGCAGGACGCACATGGTCGCGGTGGGTACTGTCTCTCGATGGTCGACGGCCGTTGCAAGGTAGTAGTCGGAAAGGCGGTTGGTGGCACCTCGGTGGTGAACTTCATGATCTATTCGAGGGGCACGCCGGTCGATTACGATGGCTGGGAAACGCTCGGGAATCCCGGGTGGAGCTATAAGGATGTATTTCCTTACTTCATCAAATCCGAGAGGTGCAGGCTGCTCGATAGAGACACGAGGTGAGATCGCGGGATATTCGCTTCTCCGCTGGAGATTCATCTTAAGATTCTTCACATATATAATGTTTCGTAATTTCCTTATTTTTAGAATATCTTACAAAACTTTTCAGATATCTTGCGTGTATACATTAAAACTTACTTTTTAGAAATGCTGAGGAGGCTCTTTCTTTCTTTTCGAGTTTTCTATACGTATATGAATTTTTAACTAACTTATTCTGTAATTTTTTTAAGGAATCTTGTAAAATCTGAAGATGTTTAAGGTATTGTTTAGAAATCTTTGTAAATTTAAAATATGAAAAATTCTTAAAATTAGAATAATTTTATTTATTCCTTCGCGACAATTGTCGCGAATCTTCTTGATGACATTGATTCATGCACTTTCAATATTATAATATTCGTGTAATTCAGAAATAATTGAGAGGTAATACCACGCTCTTCCTCATATTCCGTTTTATACGCACGATCTTTCTCTCGTCAGATATCATGGATACAACGGATATCTGGATGTTACGACTCCTCCTTACGCCACTCCTTTGAGAGAATGTTTCTTGAAGGCTGGCCAAGAGCTCGGTTACGATCTGATAGATTACAACAGCGATAGGTTCATTGGTATCTCGACAGTGCAGGCGAATCTGCGAAACGGTCACAGAGTCAGCGCCAACAAAGCTTTTCTCAGGCCAATTCGAGATAGAACGAACTTCTATCTGTCCAAGCTCTCGACAGTTACAAAAATTGTTATTAATCCAGAAACAAGGAAAGCCGTGGGCATTCAATTTGTGAAGGACCATAAAACCTATTTCGTTACTGCTACTAAAGAGATTGTACTCTCCGCGGGTAAGCACTTTTAGGGTATCGTTAAAGAATATATGTAATCATGAAACCAAACGCAATTTCAATTCAATTTTCAAATCTACATTAAGTTAATTTACTCCTATGATGACACATTTTATAATGTAATAAAATATTTTATATTAAAATTCTTTTAAAAATAAATATATACTAAATAATAATATCAGAAGGACTACAATAATAATCGCGGGAAAACTATAAGCATTTGTCATTTTGTACACTGAAAAAAAATCTGATAGATTCAACCAGTCGTTTGTTAGAAAATGGACGAATCAGAATTTAGGATTTACCAGATGTGTGGTGAAGTCTAGCAAACTTCTGGTTATTAAATATCTTTCATGGTAAATCCTAAAGGAATTATGATTCGTCCATTTTCTAACTGACGACTGGTTGAATCTATCAAATTTTTTTTCAGTGTAACAAATGCACAAAATGAACTAAACATTGTTCCATAGAACAATTGTTTTTATTAGCGCATGGTGCAAAATGAATAACATTAACTTGTAAAAATAAACGTAATAATAGAGCCGAAAATTTAGACAATTGCGTGGCTTAATATTCACTTGGGAGATCTCGATATAAGTAGTCATTTTCATGAAAGAAATTTATTTTGGAATATCAATCAAAGACACAATTACACAATTATTAATGAAATAAAATTCATAAGGCTCTGACGTGAAATCACGAATACCAAGTAATAAAGAATATAAGAGCCAAGACAGAATGTTAGTGTCGAAATGATTTTAAGTTTTAAATATTACTACATGCCTCGGTGGTCGAATTGATGAGACGCTCGCCTAATAAGAGGGAAGTCCAGGTCCAGGTTTAAACTCTGGCTGAGGTAAATTTTTCGCAATAAATTTAAAAATAAAAATCATTTCGATACTAACATTCTGTCTTAGTCCTTATATCCTTTATTACTATAGGTATTAATGTTAGAAAATAAACTAAACTTAATAAGTTTCAAAAATGCCCCTTGATTACCGTGAAAGTTCAGTTGATCATCATTATTTCGAGAACATTGTGCAACCAACCAATTTGTTGGTCCTTTCTTGTAATACTTATTTTCACAAATTTATTAATGTTTCGACCTATGCTTATTACCCACACAGCACAGAAAGATTGCAGGAAGATTGCAGAAATGTTACATTGCAAGATTGCAATATTGCGCAACATTGCTGCAACGTTTCTGGAGGATTGCAGTAACGTTGAAATGTCCGCCCTCAGAGAGATTGCAGTGCAACATTATAGCAATGTTGCGGTGCAATATTTTTGGAATAATTTGTTGTTGTTGTACATAAGCAGAGAATTTACTAATTACATATGCATCCGGGCCTTTTTCAATACACAGTAAGCTATTGCGAAGCAACCTAAGGAGATTATGTCGCTTCGCAATAGATGGAGATTGCGAGCAACACCGCACTGATCAAGTACTTAATAATTCGCGCATTATTGGTATCAACGAAAATAACATTATAAAATTCTCGTAATTAGAAAAATTTTTTAAATAGAAAATATAGTTTTTTTTATTATTTTTCAAACATTGCTGCAACATTGCTATCGAAAGTTTGCAATTTTAGATCCCTGCAATGTCTGCAAGATTGCATTGCAATCTGCAAGATTGCAACGTTTCTGCAATGTAACTGCATCCATCTGTGCTGTATAGGTAGGATCTTTTACTCCATTTAATGTCAGTACTTTTTTCAACGTCCCAAAGGACCCTTTTCTTTAACAACGTGCATATGTATATCGTTTTTGTACTACTTATTTCTCTATACTGTTAATATAAAGAGACAGAGTTTGTAGCCTTTTTCTTTATTCGCGAGTATCTAAAAAAAACCGCTTGATCGATTTATTGAATTTTTTACCGACTATTCCCAGTAAGAAATGACGTCGAATCGACGCCAATACAACGGTGTCGATGTCGATTCGATCGACGAATAATTTCTCACTGGGATTATTTAGTATATCGAAAGAGTCAAACACTATGTGTATACATCATCCTTGCCCGTCTGTTTCTTCTGTATTAATAGAGCGTTCAATTAACTTAATTCTGTCTACTTATTACAAAATAACAATCCTTTAGTTTCAGTAACTTTCTTATTCTACTTATTACAAAATAACAATCCTTTAGTTTCAGTAACTTTCTGATTGTCATCCTAACGAATCAACGCAAGAGCGTCTCTGATTTATAAACGCGTTCTGAAAGAACACGATATGTTTGGCAATGGAAGTTTCTGTCATAGCGAATATGCAAAATTGTTTCAACTCAACTCGTTGTCTACATTTGTAAACTTATTAAAACTTTGATTTGATACTTTCAATCACGCAGGTACTTTGGGTTCGCCGAAGTTACTGATGCTCTCCGGGATAGGTCCAAAGGATCATTTGAATTCATTAGGCATCGACGTAATCGAGGATCTTCCGGTAGGATTTAACTTACAGGATCACGTGAGCATGTCAGCTTTAACATTTCTAGTCAACGAGAGTGTAAGCATTGTCGAACCACGTTTAGGTTCGAATCCGAGTGATTTTTTTAAGTACCTGACAGAGGGAACTGGTCCTCTAACAATACCCGGAGGCGCTGAAGCTTTAGTCCTTATTAACACTAAGGCTAACTATTTGTTGAAAAAACCGCAAAGGGAAGAATTAAAGTTTAAGTACACTCAGCGTGTAAATACACACAAGAACGACAAACAGTACGGTAAGCATTTTTCCATCGTGCAAAATCGAAATTTTTCGAGTAAACAAATTCTAAAAGATTAATTTCCTTTTTTTTCTTTCTGAAAAGAGGCAAAACGTTTATTAAATATTCTTTTCATGCAAATTAATTATTTTCATATTATACCAAACTCAGAAATTTATAACGATAATAAGAACTCGGATTACGCATCTGACAATACATATTTATCGAATAATTACCAGTTCGATTTTTCTGTTATTGCAATTTTTCATAAAGCTCATTTTGTCCTAACAATATTCATGTTATGAATCATTTCTTACAGCTGTTCCCAACATCACGTCCATTACCGTAAATCGTAATGTCTTCGAGGTAAATCCTCACGTTAACAGAGGCAAGATCTCAGGCAATGACTATCCCGACATCGAGTTGGTGTTAGGCGCAAGCTCGTTAGCCGGTGACATTTCCGGCAGCTATCGCGGTCTGCTAGGATTAACGGAAGAATTTTACAACAAGGTTTACGGCGATTACAAGGGCTTGGACGGCTTCATGATCGTACCTGTGCTTCTGCGACCCAAGAGTCGCGGTAGACTCACCTTGAGAAGCAACGATCCGTGGGACTTGCCGATCGTGGACATGAATTATTACGATCACGAGGACGATCTGAATACAATGGTGCAAGCTATAAAGATCGTAAGAAGAGGGTCTTTTTACGGGTCTTCCATATATTCCACATTTATTTTACAATTTTTCTCCACCTACACTGAAAAAGTTTCGCTACCGTCCCTTGGGAAAATATACCTTAAACCTTAAAATTTTACTTTAGAAAACTAAGAAATGTGAAAAATAAATTTGGACACTTTAAACTTTTATTCAAGGTAAACTTTAAAACTTACTTTAAGAATTTAAAAGAAAACTTTAAGAATTGTGAAAGATATGTGATATAATTTATAATGCCGCGTGCGGTTTTCTTCTTACGAGAAAGTGCTATGCCGCGCGGCCCTCTAGCAAGAACTTCGACAGGTTTTTAACTTGTTTAAGTAAACTCTTAGATTTAAAAGATTACTTTTAAAAACCTTAATTTTATTTGAAGTAAATTTTCCCAAGGTGTAGCCAATCACGATTTGCTGAAACCACAGCAAACGGTTTGCTGTTGCACCTAATACAGTAGGCACAGTAGCAAAATATTAGCTATCACAACTAAATATTAGCTGTCCATATTTTACAACTGAAAGTTATACATACAGTTTTTAGCTACGGCAGCTACATTTGTTTTCCGTGTACTTTTTGTTATATCGCATGAGAGTGTACTCTCTCATTATCTTATTCAGAATTATATTCTTTGTAATTAAGTGGTTACAACACTCTAGAGCCAATTTTCGGTGATTTTTTTCAGGGATATAATAAACATAAATGAAAATCTGTTTAGTCCTTATTATTCTCTATACATTGAAGTGTGAAAAGAATTTTTTATACATTTTTCCTCAACAAATTGATGGCGCCAGAGCCATGGATCCAAAGTGCTTTGCGGAAGTCGCCCCACGGGCGGAAACGAAGCTCCCTCACCCTTCGAGCTAGAACAAAAAACCCAAGAGTTTTGAAAAATATATAACATTTTCTTTCGAACCACGTACGGATTTTGCGAAATACCGTTTTTTGTAAAAATGGTGCGCGTTAAAAAAAGAAAGTTGCACTGTTCGCTACAAAAATTTCGCACAAAAGTGTTTACAAAAACAACAATTTTCAACTTACCGCAAAATCCGTATGTAATTCAAAAGAAAATGTTACATAATTTTAAAAAATTTTTGGTTTTTGTTCCAGCTTAAAGGGCGAGGGAGCTTCGTTTCCGCCCGTGGGGCGACTTCCGCACTTTGGATCTAAGGTTCTGGCGCCGTTATTTTGTTGAGGAAAAATTCATAAAAACAATTTTTATACTTCAATGTATAGAGAATAAATAGGAATAAACAGATTTTCACTTACGTTTATTATATTCCTGAAAAAAATCACCGAAAAGTGGCTTTTTTGGACTCTAGAATGCTGTAGCCCTTTAAAGTATTCTTCGCTCGTTCTCCAACTTGTTAATTTCGCCTTTTGTACTTGTCGCAGGCGATCGAAGTAGCTTCCACGAAGGCGTTCAAACGTTTCAACGCTACGCTGTTGCCGGTACCATTCCCAGGGTGCAAGCACATCATTTTTAAGAGTGACGCATACTGGGCCTGCGTCGCCCGACACGTGTCAACGACTCTAGGTCACTACGCGGGCACATGCAAAATGAGCCCCCGGAGAAATTCGGGGGTAGTGGACCACAGATTGCGAGTGCATGGGATCGACGGTCTCAGAGTCGTGGACGCCAGCGTTATGCCGACTATAATCGCTGGTCATACGAACGCGCCGACATACATGATCTCTGAGAAGGCCAGCGACATGATCAAGGAGGACTGGAAAGGTTCCGCTTCATGAAACGTGTGGGAAGCGGGCGGAAACAGAGATGCTACGACATGCGAAACATAGAACGCGTGATCGTGAAAGGAGAATGTGATAAAGAAAAGAAGTTTTTCAAGGACAAAAATTCGTGAAACTTTAGAAGAGAGAAGATTTAAAGAGTATTGTTGCATGTAAACTAACAGGGTGTTACATCTAAATATTTTACTGACAGTGTTGTGCATAGATGATTTTAAAATTAGCTAGATAAAGATAAGATAAAAATATATAAATTTATCTTAGATAAGATAAAGAAGATTTCGTTTTGAATATATCTAGATAAAAGAGAAAATTATATGATGATTTATCTAGATAATTTTCAGATAATATTATATTTACAATACGTTTACGCTTGCGTCTTTGTCGTAAGCTATTACGTTGCTTTGTGCTCTGACCCTAAAATGTTCACTCGCCGTCGCCCGCCAAACCGTTGGCGACTTAGGTTAAGTTATATGACACACACACATAAATGCATGGTCTACAACGCCATCCATATTTAAATAGTGTAACTGTTAAGTATTTTTATGTGGCTCTAAACCAAATTATCTGTACGTTATCTTAGATAATTTAGTAAAGATAACACTTTCTTTCATCTAAGATGCAGATATAGATAATACTTATTTTTATTATATGTATATACATATAAAGATAAGATAACGCTAAAATTTTATCTAGATAATCATCTATATAATTTTATTGAGATAACAGCAAACAGTGTTTACTGAACTTAGCAAAGTATTATATTATTGTTATAGAAATAGAACACAGTTGTGTGTAATTATTACGAAGCTTTACGCGTGTGCAGATTGACCCTTTGCTCAATTCTAGTGTGTCCTAGTCAATAACTGACTGTAGTAAATAGAAGTAAGAAAAGAAACTAGTGTTCTTAATAATTTAGTAGATTCGATACTGTCCTGGGGAAAAAAAAACACTGTTTCTCTTTGGCTGCTAGTTAAAGTAGCAAACTTACATTAGACAAGCGTTTTAATTTAAATAACAACTTAATAAATACAATGATAAATACTCAATGCGACATCTAAGTTATATAAATTAATAACCTACTTTTTTAGTTTTAAATTAATAAATCGACAAGTTTTCATGCTGTAGAATACGGATTGTTACCCGCCATCTTTATCGCATAAGGTATCTTGCGATAACGGCAAGAGGAAGTATTCTATGTACTTGCCATCTCGTTGCGCCTGTAAAAGCAATTGTAATCTTATTAATTAATAAATATATTAATAAATTAATAATAATGACGAAGAATCTTGATTATAATGCGTTTAGTGTGTTTTTAGAGATCTCCTTTAGATACTTGCTAATCGTACTGTTTAATTTGAAAAGTTAGAACATTGTTATAAATATTTTTACCATTATCACTGAACTGAACACAATCCTGCAGTTGCTCCATCAACGTATAGCCTTCTGTACAGGTGCAGAAACCTGTGAAGAGATATAAAATAGTTACATTTCAAATTAAAACCTTTCTTAATAATAAATCATCGTAGAAATTTGAATAGGCAATGTGAGCCAAACGCAAGATGTTGTGCTTATATGTATATCTTTAATTTAATTAGAGTGTAAACTACAGAAAAAACGAACGTTTCGGTCCTTTTTTGGACCATCTTCAGCGTAAATATAAACCTAAACTCGTATTGATTCGCATTATCAATACTTAATCATGGATCAACATGCTTAGTGCTATCGGCCCGCGGTATAAATCTGACGTAGTCATATTATCTAATTATAAGAACTCACTTCTAACGCTTTCTTAAGGTGTGAAATAACATAATACGGCACGATAGAGGGTTATTTAAATTAAAACTTAGGATAGTTATAAATCATCGTGTTATTAATAAGCAATTCTGACCATCAATACAGTCCACTTTCGATTTCCAAGTCGAATTGGATTCCCTCAAAGTTGTCGTGATACAGTGGTGGTGAGTTTCGCAACGGCCTCCTAGTTCTGAAACATGGAATTTTCCAGCGTTACTCTGTTGGAAATATTTCACTGATAATATAACGAAACTTTGCCGAAGGGCATTTAAAAATCTCTCTCAACTAATTTCGTTTCATTATATTTTCATAAATATCTCCGTAAGAATTCAATAAAAAATTATTAAAAAATTTTTCATTAAAAAGTAACTCAGTTTTTAGTTAAGTTGAATAAAAGTTTCACGGCATTCATTATAATTTTTTAATTATTTTTCAACAGTGTACTTAAACTTTCCGTATTTATCAATACATTGAATTTTACAACGAAAATTGATCTATTTTGAGATATACTTTCAGTAATTTTGCAATAATTTTTATTTTTCATTTTCTGACGTCTTATCTTTTGACGGCAAAAATATAACTAATATATAGCTTATTTGACTAATATTATAATTAAATTAATTAATATATAATTAATTAATTAAATTATAATGTCTCGCCGAGAGAGAGAGAGGGGGGAGGGAGAGGCGCTGTTGGATGAATCTGATTGGTCAACGATTTTCCATCTTACCTTATGTGTATGAGTGAGATAGAAATCGTGAGATAGAAAATCGTCGACCAATCAGATAACAAAAAAGAGACAGAGATTCACCCAACAAAAGTTGTCTCTCGACGACATCGGGAACAACAGGAAACAATTGGACCACTCACTCCGGTATGTTGCAGAGCTCACTGGAAAAGACTTTTTCAAAATAAATAACGTCCATAGTTAGTCTAAAAAATGACGTCTTATCAACGTCCATTATTAGCCGATGACATAGACCAAAAATGACCCACACAGTACAAAAAGATTGCAGAAAGATTGCAGAAATGTTACATTGCAAGATTGCAATATTGCAGCAACGTTGCACAACATTGCTGCAACGTTTCTGGAGGATTGCAGCAACGTTGAAATGTCCGCCCTTAGAGAGATTGCAGTGTAACATTATAGCAATGTTGCAGTGCAATATTTTTGGAATAATTTGTTGTTGTTGTACATAAGTAGAGAACCCATACAGCACAAATTGTTGCAGAAAGGTTTCAGAAAGATTTCAAAATTATTTCGATATTTCACATTTCATGCTCAACATTTCTGATAGAATTCTGCAATATGTCATACA